CTCTTCTCGGGTTGTTGCGGGCTGTTAACTATAGGGTTGTAAAGTAGTGCTAGACTACAAGCCACTACATCACCACCACCACTACTACTACTACTCGATTCATCACATGTGGATTTGAACAACAAGGGCATCGAGAGCATCTTCTTACCGATCCAGACTGGTGGCCGGGGATTGAGGACGACTGTGTGATGCAGAATAATTTGATGTACTCGTAAAAGAATAGCATCTGGCATGAGGTCATTTTATTTAGTAATATAAGAGGGTTACACTATGAGGGATCGCTATATATTGACTCAAAACTGTGCCTGCATGAAGGTCCTGAATGTGTTGTAACTTCACATGTCAGGAAGAGATGACAACTGACGAACCTAGAAGGAACTTGTTGTAATACAGGCGCAACTGCGATGTGTTTTGGTTAACAATCATAGAAATAAGAAACATTTGTAAAATGAAACGAAGTAGTTATATGGTATGAAGGTTGCTGTGGTAGAATCGCTACAGTTCAATGATGAAGACACCTTTAACAATTAAGGTGATGATTATTTTGTGGTATATTCAAGCACTGGATTAGACGCGATCTACCGATGTCATGCGTTAGCCTTGCGTTTATACTCTGAACTTAAATACCTCCTACTTTTTTAAATTAGCGTAGCATCTTCAGTTCCAATAATTAAACTATTTATAGTCAGAACTGCATTTATGCTTATCTAATCACAGGCACGAAAAAAGGGCGAATTGGACTTACCCGCTTCGAAAACTACCAGCTTTGGCGAGAGGAGCTCGGCTTCCAGTCTGTCGAGGTCAGCGGCCCCTTCCAGACCTACGTGAACATCCACGCGATGTCCGATGGCGCCACGACGAACAAGGGGCAGAGTCAGTGTTCCAGGCGCAGCACAAATTCGATACCGCTTTTTATCAAACCCCACCTGAGCCCAGTAAACAGCGAGACTAAAGACGAAGAGAGATATACAAATCGCTGTTTAATGCAGCGCTGTTATTCATGGTGTTTTAGAGCAATAAAGGCTTCAACAATGTGGTGTCTGAGGGCGGCGACATGTGTACGCAAATTTGTCAGAACGTGTCAACTTTGTTTGAGGCGTCACTTGAGCTCTTTCGAATAAAATATCGCTCATCGGTCGGACACTGTAAGTAGTCGCGGGTTGTGTGTGTGGGGTATTATGTTGATTCACGTCCAATAACCCGGTCTTCACAGCCTCACACACACACGTCCCCCTTTTCACAGCGTCCCCTGCTCATTCACTCCTCTGTAGGCACCAGTGCCACCGCCATCGCCACCACCACCTCCACCCATTCTATTCATGTAACCA